ATAGGTTTTTTTTTTTTAAAAAAACTTCAACATTTAGCAAAAAAATTAATATTTCGATTAATCGCTCCTATAAAACCTTATTTTACTTACAATTGTATATTCAAAGAATATACAGTAATACATTTGTTCTTAGATAATGAACATAAATTTTATGAATAAATAAACATATCTCAAAGGAAGGCAAAAAGAAATAAGAAATAACAATAATAATAGTGATAATAAAAGACCATCAATAAATTTTTTTTTTACAACCAACTGAGCACAGCTTTTAAAATTACTTTGATCAATTTTCCAAAGACCATTGTCACCAAAATAAAAATATCCCTGTCTATCAAGTAAATCAACATAAAGGAATTTTGTAATAGTATAGCCAGGACCACTTGCAGGATAAAATATTGCTTGTAAACATCTTGTTCCGCTAGGAACTTGAGCAGCTAGTTGGAATAATATGAATTACAGTAATTAAAAAGAGTTACAACAATTTTTCAAAGATCATTTTAAGATCATTATCAGTAGAGATCATAACTTTAACAATAAATATACAATTTCCGCTACAGACAAGGTTATTGGGAGTAATGTTGTTAGACAAACCTTTTTGCAAAATGACAAAAGACGAAACCTACTCCCTAACTGACAAAACTTCTGGCGAAACTGACAAAACCTACGAAACCTGCGAAACCTCTATAAAGACAAATTTCTTATTGATAGCGAAATTTCTGATAAAAGTTAAAGCCCTCTATAAAGAATAAAGTCTCTGTTAAAAATAAAGCCTTAAAGGCTATGTTATTGTTTTGATTTAAAGTTATTATTTTTGGATTAAAAACTTATCATTGTTAAGATGTAAAGCCATTGTTTGGATGCGAAGTCATTGTTTAGATGCAAAGCCATTGTTTTTGTATAATGTTTAATTAAAATCGATGCTATATTTTAAATTCCGAATTATAATTTTTAAATGGTTTTTGATTAAAAACTGTATTATTGATTAGATACAAAGTTATTATGTTTGTATAATCTCTGATTAAAGGCTATGCAATAGTTTTAATGTGATATTATAATAATTTTTAATCAGTATAAAATAAATTAAAGTCACATATTAAATCCTGAAGATGTATAAATCGTGGCTATAAAATTTAATAGCAAAGTTAATAATTATAAAGGTAAATTAATAAATAGATATGTTAGTTTTTTTTTATATCCGTTAAGTATCTGATTCAATATTTAATAAGCAGGTAATTAATAAAGAAACAAATTAATATATATGATTTTTGGGGTTCCGTTGATTTCACCGACACTCACTTCACCAACATGCCATTCCACTGATAATCAATTCACTGACAAG